ATCTTAGAAATCATAATCCCCATTTGCTATATTTTCAACAAAGGAATTAACTTAGGAACTAAAATTTCATGTTGCCCAGATTAATGCATGATTATCCTAAAGGTCATGAACAAGTAATGTCTGCAAATGCGTCAATATTTGCACAGTACAGTTGGGTTAAACAAGCATGCAGCAAGGTTGACAAAATTGTATAAATATTTTTCTCCTGTCGAAACTGCAGAAACCTGGAAACATCGACTGTAATTATTGGGCTCTAGGATTGGACTCGATTATTTCCGTATCAGAAAATGATTGCAATTTAATTGGCGATTAATTAAGAATTACAGTCGAACCCCTATAAGCGGACACCTCTCTTAAGCGGACACCTCTTTTAAGCGGACACATATCTCAGGTCCCATTCGTTTTCTTTAATAAAATACTATTATCATAACCCCTATTAAGCGGACACCCCTCTTTAACGGACGCGGACACCTTACTTGAGGTCCCAATGGGCAAACCAACCTCTCTTAAGCGGACAGATGACAGATTGTCTGATAAAACGTATTCAATATTTGACAGTAAATAACAATTGAGATCAATTTACATGGCACATTGGCAGTGACACACCAACTTGGCACGAAGACCTCAGAGCCAAGATTATCGAGGAAGTGACGAACAAGGACGGAGGACTGTGAACCGCCAGCCGAGGAGCCAAAAGATATGTGTCAGATCACTGATGATGACAACGAACTGAACGGAGATGACGAATTTGACTGGTCTCTCATTAAATCGTCCTCCAAAGCCCTTAAAGTTGTCGAGTGGCTGGCAGAATTCGCACAATTTCGAGGTTTGGAAGAACTTTCCAACGCCATTTTTCTGTAAATGACATTATAATGGGCTATCGTCTGCGTGAGCCTCGAAAGCAAACTTGTATCGATTCCTTTTTTACATGACTGTGAGAGACATATACATTTTCTAATGAACTTTTATGTACAAAGAAATTTTCATTTTATGCTAATTATTTGCTAGATATATTTTACTGTTTTGATACTCAAATTACAAACCTAATTACACACCTTTGCCTCCCGCTGTGTTTTTCTACATACCCCTTTTAAGCGGACATCCCTTTTAAGCGGACACTTAGGCGAGGTTCCGAAGGTGTCCGCTTAATAGGGGTTCGACTGTATATGACAAGTAGAAGTTCACGATAGTTTCGTATTCGCTGTTCTCCATGTTGCGCTCTTGTTAAAATTGCTTACAACACTGACGGATTTTATGTAGCTGCATGCATGCATGCATGCATGCCACCTTTGTTTTTTTACGCGTTTGCGTAATGTTTTTGTGAGTCATCCAAACCTTTATGTTTTTGAGTTTGCTGAATGTTTTGTTAGTCATTCAAACCTTTGTGCTTTTGTGTGTGCGGAATGTGAGCGATGAAGCATGCAGTCTATACTTTCGTTTTACGGAATGCTTCTATAATGCATCCCAAACATATGTTAGAGTTATAAACCGAGTAGGAGGTTTATAACTGATATATTGACCCCGAGGACGCGTAGCGTCCGAGGGGCAATATATAAGTTATAAACCGACTTTCGAGGTTTATAACTAACTTATATCACACTTGTGGAGATTTTCCAACATATTTTGTCATTTTCAAAAATTTTTAATGAAAAATTCTCGCGTTTTGTCTACAAGTTTAATCCAATCATTTATTCAAGGTCTATAAGCTAGTTATAAACCTCGGACGAACAAAGAAAACCGACACAAGTGTGATATAAGAGCGATTATATATACTGTGTATATATGTAAGTAAAATGCATAGGAAAAGTGTTTTTGACGAAATAACCACTCATTTGATTTTGTTTTTCGAACAAACGTTTCCACTTAAAAGTCTACTTTTACCCTAATGCTAATTACTCCCTGTTATTTATTAGACGCGTGCATATTAACTTATTTTTCACCCTGCTCGGTTTCCTTTGTTCTTAGCGGGGAATATATTCAATATGCCCCTCTAATCAATTTCCGTTTAATAATCTCTCTAAAATATTCACCTGCAATGTCTTTGCAGCACAAAAAATAAGGAAAAAAAACCAAAAAAAAACGAAGGCGATATGGCAATAAGAATTGTTTCTATTCTGACTCATTAACGCGACCCTCGCAATGTGAAAAATAGGTACATTATTTTGAGGCAACTCTGGGATATGTGTTTATTCACCTCGACGCTGCGCGACTCGGTGAATAAATCACGTATCCCCTCGTTGCCTCAAAATAACCTATACATATTCGCCAACGCATGATGTCAGTCGTTTGCTAAAGTGCGTTTGTTATTCTGACTAATTTTATAGTATGTGACTGAATTTATAGATCTAAATAACTTGTAATATCTATCTTTAAAAATCGTTTCGTGTCCTTAACTTAAAGCTAAGCCATTATGCATTAACGTTGTCCTCTACAGATACCCATGTGTGATGTGTCTGGCATGATTGCACTATAGCACATTATTATTATTACGCGTTCCTTCAAACTTTTAGCTCTTGCATTGGCCGCAATGAAGAATTTCGACAGAAATAAATTATGCAAACAAACAATAAAAACTGACAAACAATTTTAGGATCTTGGTTTTAGAAGAAGCTTCACGATTTCTGAGCCTATAGCGATAAAGTAAACTGTGTTTTTCGAGGGGGGGAAATTTCCGAAGGGGGTGGGGGGCATATTTCCTAGTAAATACCCCGGGGCCAAATTTGGGGGGGGGGCAAATTTCCTGGGACATCGGGAACAAAAGAAGTCTCGCATTGTGAGAGCGATCAAATTTCATGAAGCCATTACCAATTTCCCATCAAAATGTTTGCTTTTAAAAGTTATTCTTCGTTAAATTCGTACTGCAGTCAACTTTAACAAACAAATCGGGAAAGCAATTTCATTGTCAACAAAATAGTCAATGACAATAGTATTACTAATAGATATTCATTCAAGATAAAAGAATGATCTTATAGCTGTAACAGCCTGACAGGTGGACGTGTTTTTTGTTTGGTTTTGTACTTTTTGCTATTAAAAAATGAACAGTTAGGCTACGAAACTATGATATTTCTCTGTTACATATAATCACTTTAATCTTGTGGAAACACGGCTAAAAATGTGAACGTTTTCTTGAGAAGTAAACAACGTCTTAAAATTTAATTTTATTAAACGTTTGTGTACAATTTTGCAATTTTTTTACAGTTGACAATGTATATTAATTTAAAAAAAAATTAAAAACATTGTTTCGTAGTTATTTTTTGTCTAGTGATATTCGTATTATGTTTTCACTGCTCGCCTTACCAAACAATGCACTTAGCTGAAATGATTAAGAATGGGGAAAAATAATTTCCTGCCAAGAGCACCGTGTGGCAAGGCATTGCGGTGGCGCATGCAGCCGAGTGGGGGGGGGGGACAAAAATTTCCCTCCTTCAATGGGTCGTCTTCGTAGCAAAATGTGCCAAAAAATCTCTTTTGGCTCTACTTTTATGTAAGCCTACTCCCTAAAGGGATTGGCTGGTTGGGGTTAGTGTTAGTGTTAGTGTTAGGTGCCACGAATTTATTTTTATGATAAATTCAAAATATGCCGCGAATTTATCATAATGATAAATTCGGACGTGTTTAAGAATTTACTCATATAGTAAATTCAAAGGTGGAACTCATGCTGTAATTAAAAGACTATACAACCCATGCGAAAAATAAAATAAAATAAAATAAAATAAAATAAAATGAAATAAAATAAAATAAAATAAAATAAAATAAAATAAAATAAAATAAAATAAAATAAAATAAAATAAAATAAAATAAAATAAAATAAAATGAAATAAAATGAAATAAAATAAAATAAAATAAAATAAAATAAAATGAAATGAAATGAAATGAAATGAAATGAAATGAAATGAAATGAAATGAAACGAAACGAAACGAAACGAAGCGAAACGAAAGGAAACGAAAGGAAACGAAATGAAATGAAATAGTGTTTAATTAAGAGCAGTGCTACGTCTGGACAGTCTATAATGTCAACACGGAACCATTCTAGAAGTTTGGCGGTCAGAATTTAAAAAACGTGGTGGGGGACGTGGGATCACCAAGATAATATATGTAGGTTATTTTGAGGCAACCAGGGGATACGTGATTTATTCACCGAGGCGCGCAGTGTCGTGGTGAATAAACAAATATCCTCGAGGTGCCTCAAAATAACGTACTTATTTTTCACATTGCGAGGTCGCGTTAATGAGTCAATTCTTAATGCCATATTGCCTTCGTGATGTTGTTTTTTCTCATTTTTTGTGCTGCAAATTAGACATTTCAGGTGAATATTAGAGTGGATTATCAGAAGGAAATTGATTAGAGGGAAATATTTGCCAACCCGGGTCAGCAATTCTCAACCCGGGCTAGCTCCGGTAATATTCCGAGCAACAACTTGGAGCAGAGTGTATTTTTGGCGCTTATTTCCCTTATACGATTGTCGCTTGTGATTTTAATTGCGTTGTGTAATTTTCCTGTACCTCTATTTAGTCAATGGTTTATTTCTTATATCCTCACAGGGTCTTGAAAGTGACCATGCTGTGAGATATTGCATAGAAATATGTGAACTCACCCACATTGAGCGCGTGATACCCGCATTTTGGAATCATCGCCCGCGTAAAAAATGGCACTTAATTCACCCGCATTCATTGAAATTCACGCGCATAATTAGATGATAATTCTCCGTATAGGAGATTTCGTAAGAGCGGAGGCTATGCTGAACTAGCCTTGCGCTTATTTTGTTTAGTTTTAACCGAACGGTTGCGATTTTACGAAACTTTTATTTATTCCCTTTTACGAAACTGTTATTTATCCAACACGTTCTACTATAGGGTCCAATATTCCATTTAACATAACTGAACTGTTATGTATAATCTATTTTAGGTGTCAATCAATCAACATTGGTCATTGAACATCTCACTCTACCTACTTACAATAGAGTATTTATTGATTCGGTGATTAGAAACACCTCAATTACGATGCAATCCCTGCATCTACAAGACGACAGCAATGATGAAAGTGTCTTTGATGAAAGTGTAGATGAAAGTGGTGATGATGTTTATTGTGAATCTGATGCCAGTAGCACTAGTAGTTATGATGATGATGGTGACAACATTGATCAAGCATATTACTTGCCACCAGAATTTGATCAACTGAACATTTCATGTGATAAAGACTTTTTGGATCATGAAAATGATGGCATTGATTCAACACTGATTGAATCAGTTGATATGGACACTAGTTCAACTGAAGGATTAGGATCCATTGAATGTAACATACCTTCAATGTCATATGAACAGCCTGATTTAGTGGAGGGAAACGATCCTTTGACCAGACTTCTTCTAGCTGGCTACGAGAATTGTAAGGTTGCAGATGTTGATGAAGAGCTATCATTAGTTAATGAGAAGAAATTTATATGTAGTATGTCAAGCATGCGAGAACTGTTTGCCTTTTGTGTGGACATTGACTGTAAAATGCCATTAACCGATGTAAAAGAATCATTTGTCGGCTGTGTTCTTGAGATAAGATGGAAATGTAAAGTTGGTCATTGTGGTGAATGGAAGTCAAGCAAAATGGTGAAGAAGTTGTATGTGAACAACTTACTGACTGCAGCCGCATTATTATTCACTGGCAATAACTACACAAAGCTGGCGTATTTTCCAAATGTCTTTCGTTGGCATTCTTTGGCTCGTCATCTTTCCACCAGTACCAAAAGCTGTACCTAGCACCTCAAATTCATTTATGGTGGGCTGATATGCAAGAGAAAATATTTTTTCGCTTGATACACAGCCAGTTGTTGTAGCTGGAGACGGACAAATGGATTCAACTGTGTTTACACACTAATGCATGAAGAACTTGATTATGTTCTTTATGTGGAAGTGGTTGGTGTACGCCATGCTCAATTGAAGAGTGTGGTCATGGAGAAAGATGGGTGTGAATGGGCAATGGATTTCCTCATGCAGAAGTTATCTGTACAGGAATTTGTGACTGATGCATCATCTCAGTTGATTAAAATGTTGGGTTAATATTTTAGTCAAATAATATATATCTTTATAAAAAAGTAATTTTCTGTATACTGCACACATTAACGGAGCAATAGTTGCAATAATGCAGTACAGTAATATTATATATGTTCTATATTTTTAGCCACGGATAAGAAGTACGAAAACGTTGCTCATCAGTTGGATATATGGCATAAAAGCAACAAGTTAGACAAGAAGATTATGACGAAGGTTGTTTGTATTTTCCTTTTTAATTTTATTCCCTGCAAATGACTGACTGAATGAATGGTGGCTCATAGTTCGAAAAGGCGTTTTATCCCCCTTTTTAAAGGGTCGGTGTCAGGACGTATAATGTTTATATCCATAATAAATAATCAAATGATTGCAGTGGATTGTTGTTGACAAAGAACTTAATTTCAAATTCGCACATCATTTGGATGTGCAGTAGCACCATGACATGTGCCCCTTTTTAACACTTCCCATCCCCCCTTTATAACTTGTTGGCATTCCTGTTTATTTATGCATTATTTGTTTCAAGGCTTGTAAGGCAAAAAAGAACGAAATATTGAAGGCATGGGTAGCACCTATTCAGAATCACTTTTGGCATTGTGTTAAAAATTGTGGTGGTGATCTAATGAAATTGCACACATCATGTTTTTGTCATAATATTTCTCCCAGGCAATATTTTGCTGTTTCTATAACTTTATTTGATTTTATGAAACATTGCCCATAGTATGTTTTCCCCCCACACCTCCCTATCAGATTACACTGCATCAATCTGTCTAAAATGTACTTACATGAGTCAAATAATGTCACTGCGTATTTAATTAATTGCATATCTCATATTTGACATTAAACTTATATAGTTTCATGTACTCTCACTTTATTAGACTGACTGGGTCGACGTCTTAAAACATGTTGCCAACATTCACTCATGGTATAATGGCCAATACTCGCATTGACCTCTTTATGATGTCAGTGAAAGGGAGTGGATAAACAAGGACTAGCTCTGCCCCAATGCAAGCCCTCCGAGATATTGTCCTCAATAAAAAATTTCTAAAGTCACTGCCATTTTACATTCGTTTTCGGTGAGTAAAAAGATCAACAATTATGGTTTTTATTTATTTTCCAAATAGATATAACATTTTACACTATACTATACTATGTGATTACCCCATTGACAGTTTCAATCCACCCCTATACAGTATGTCCTATGTGTACCTTGCTATATTACACTGCCAAACACTGGCTAATTTCACTTGTTAAGAGGATAGTCTTGTAAGTAATATTTATCCTCCTTGATCATTGGGCTTGATGAGTAAAATCATTTGGTGCTAGACAGAGTAAACAACATGGGTTGCTATTCTGATTGTTTCTAATTACAGACATGCACACAGGGAAGTTGGAGGCATATCACAGCCACAGGTTGATGTATGCCCCCAAACGCTATGGTTTCTCGTAAGTATTGAACAGCAACAAATTATGTTGTATTATTATGTTCGAATATTATGTTCTAACGACTTGCCTACTTTGTATAGCAATTACAGTAATTTTATACCAGAATACATTTTTCATAAACCTATATTCATGCAGTGAATTTATGTTTATAGATATGAGGGTTTGAAAGCTCACAGCATCCTTGCTGCTATCGACCACAATCACCATCTTCATCGCAAGCAAGCGCGTAATAGTAAAGGAGAGTTGGTGTACTCTAGGAGATGGAGCAAGCGTGCTAAAAGATGGAAGGTTGTTATCGTCAAAGAGAAGAAGAATTTTAGTTACCTTCCTTTCATGACAGCTCGTGTACTGAAAGAAGCGAGCAAGACATGGAATAAACATGTAATGCCTGTACAATCGGCACAAGACCCCAAAAATGTCGCTCGCACAATTGCAAGTCTTCCTCCTCCACCCACTTCAGAGCTCGTAAAGGAACATATTTCACGATATTAAGTACTGTACACTTAGGGACGGACCATTTGATTTTTGAGAGGGAGGTTGGGAAATACGGAAGAAAAATTCGAGCAAAGGTTTAACGAAGAAAAAAAATGTTGCAAAGGAAAATTTCTGTTAAAAGGAAGGGAGTTATGGCAAAAAAATATCCTGCACATCCTTGCGCGAAGAAAAAACTATCATGCGACAAAAAATTGCCCCCCCCCCCCTCAAAATCACATGGTCCATCCCTTAGTGCTGTTTAAGCAATTGTTAATTTCAGTCTTTACAAAATACTATAGCAAAGTCATATTTTGGAAGTTGCATTGAAATGTTTATGTATTTTTGTAGCCAGTATACTGTCCATTAGGTGACGGATAATGCTTTCTTATTTTCCATACACAACAGGAGGGAATGACCTTGCGATTACCCTTCCCTAGATGTCCATGCATGTATCCACATGACACTATTGACACATTGTCGATACGCAGAATGTCTCATTCCTCGGTTGTCGTATATTGGTGTGAATACATATGTATCTGCTAGACTCCTAATAGCTGTAGCCAGATTGTCAGAATCCAAGCAAATATTCTGAAATGCCAGAGACCTACTTCGACACAGGCGTTTTTCTCTACAGCACAACACCCTCTCTTTGTCCGTGGGCATCTCCCGACAATACCCGCATACACAAAATGGGACCGGTGCATTATATGGTGGACGTGGATGGCCAGGGTCATGTGGAACATCTGGGTCATGTGGAACATCAGGATTTACTCTTAGTCTCTCTACCAAGTCTCTCAACACTAGTGGTCTGGATGTAAAACTCTCCTTTGCAACTTTTATGAGAGTCTGGTGGTCTAAACCATCAATTATTTCCTACCAAGAGCAAAAATTCAAAAACTCTGGCATGAGATACATAATTCATAAAATGTAACTTTCTTTGTTTCAAAAGCTATATTTTGTTTAATGCTGGGTTAAAGCATAAATAATTGAATCTTGAAGTAAAATGGGAAAATATTTAAATAACTTGGTGTACAAACGTTTAAGTTATCGCATAAGGGACTTAGAAATTACCAGGGGGAGGGTGGGGGGGGTGCAAACTTGAAAAATTAAATTGAAAAACAGTGACCTCCCAGCAAGGATGAGCATGAAATATCGTGGCTCTCCGCATGACCCCTCCCCTTTCCAGCTGCGCAAAATCCATACATATCATACATACCATACATATATTTTGTTTTACTGTCGATGCAATGGAAGTGTTGATAAAATATTGCATGAATTCATTTCCTCAAGTTGATCAATTCATACGAATTCAAATTTCTTTTTACTTCCTGTGCGTTTCTTATTGGTCAATCGGTTCTGAAACGAAATCTAATTGGCTCATCTAAAAGTAACAGGAGGTTGATCAATATTCTATCAAATGAATTGATCAACTTGAGGAAAGGAATTGGTGCAATATTTTATCAACACTTCCATTGTATCGACAGTAATATCTTTAATGAATAAACTCATGTTTATAAAACACTGTTTTAGATATTGTACTATTTATACAATAATCAATGTGAACTGGTCTGGAATCATGAGGGCTTAAATTTTATGACCCTCCCTTATGAAAATTATGGCTTAAAATTTTATGACCCTCCCTTTTTAATGGTTCAGTTTTTAATGACCCACCCTTTTGAAGGGCTGAAAAAATAAGACCCTCCCCCTTTCTGCACCCTCCCTCCCCCCTGGTAATTTTTGACAAGTCCCTAACTAAAGAACAATCCAAAGATTTAATAGTCGTATTGTAGAATGTAATCATAACACAAGTGTACATATACGTTAAAATTTTAGCTTGTTTACTCATGCGAAATCTACATTATGAAAAGGAAAATTACCTCAACTGATACTTCATTCTGTTTAATTCCTTCACTTCGCCCATGTTGTGGTACTTCCGTGGATGCCCCCGCTTGACCCTGTGGTTGTGGCTAAAGCAATAAATTATAAATAATCAATAGACAATACAGAACCGACATCGCACAAGTCAATAATTGAAATTCATTGTATATTGTAGTTATATTAGCTAGTGATAGAGTACATACCCGATTTTTACACGGTTTACTCCTAGAACCACAAGAACATTTATCTCCACACTGCACACCATTATGTTTACACGCACAACCCGTAACTTTTCCACTTGCTGCTGTCTTTAGCTTTCGCATACATTGAGACTTGCATGAACAATTCACTGCGGCGGGAACAACCTTTAAAATGTCGAAAATATTTTTGTCTAGTTCTATTTAGTAGCTCCTTTGGAAACGGTTTTATTAGAAAATATTCAATGCAGAATATATATTTACCTCGCTAGTGTCATCTGAGCCACTGTCGTCTTCTTCTAAAGATGAATCTATCGCAAATTCGCTATCTTCACATTGTAAAACAGAGCCATACAACAAGGGCAGATTTCGTTTTAAGCCAATCAGCGCGTTTGTTTACATTTTCGCTCTTGACCAATCAGAATGCTTAAAATTTAAAAACGTAAACAAAAAGAGCGAGCAAATATTATCATAATCTAAGGCTTCCGTGAGCTACAATATAAACTTTTTTTACCCGAAACCGAAAGATTCTAATAGAAAATACATATATCTTGAATTTTGTCGTGGGACTTTTTAAATTTCGACACAGAACGCGAAATATCGATGTTAGAATTACCGCCGTGATTGCGCTCTGTAGCCGCATATCATATCGTCAAAACCGATCGATCTTTGAGAAATAACGCTGTTTTCATTGGGAAGATTTTGTAGTTTTTCTTCTGTTTTATAGTGCATGCATATTCTGGTATAATTTACTGTACTATACCTCTGATCGTGTTGTCAGAAATGCGTCAAAAAGTTATATTGGGCGGTGATCAGTGGCGGTGATAATAAAAGTGGAATGTCATATCCGGTTTCTTGTTCACTCTCGATACACGCGCCTGTTTCTCGAGCTGTTTGGCTGATTTCGTCCATAAATACAGTATGTGCTTGTCTTAAATACTTTTCTTGTCTTGTCTTTGTCTTTAATTTGTCTTTCTGTGTCTTCTGCCTCGTCTTCGTTCTCCTGTAAAGTCGCTCTCAGATCGTGGTTGAAAACAGCCTCGTTCGCTGCCTTGTCATGCAAGGACTTCGAGCTTTGTCAGCAATGTCGACTGACAAATCTGGCAAACACTTATTTCAGGCAAAACACATTCAATGTGGAAAGAATGACCACAACTACGAAATACTTTCCACATGGGGCTTTCTTTCTCGCATTCAGGTAAATCGTATTTTCTATGACGTAAATATAGTAAGTTACTTGCAACCTATTTAGATATACTGTCTGTCCGAAATGCTTTTTTTGTTTTTTTAGATCTTTGTTTCAAGAATTTTAACTGTTTGTTTATAGGTCCCTTTTCTTTAATTTTGTATAGAATTAATGAAATTTTCTATAGTATAAATCCTTCAGTTTTTACATGCACTTTGCATGGTGTGTTCTAAAAATCTAAATTAGAACAATATAATTAGAATAATTTGGGTACATTTTCAAACATTCTTCCATTTTGTAACAAGTACTATATTTTTATGTTATTTCAGTTAATTTTTTCTTTAAATTATGTGGAAAATGGTTAAATAAGAAAGATAAGTAAAGGACATTAATTTTGTATGTTTGAGATTAACCATTAAACCATGACAATAAAATTCACTGCTGTCAGACAATTTTACTGAACATCTAGGTGAAAGTCTTGTGGTTTTACAGTGGTTTAATGGATTAACCAAACAATCTATGCACCCTACTTTATTATTTTACTATGTCTAATACCAGATGATCTTACTCGTCAAAGGGAGAGTGTTGCACTTTAATTTTGTTTGACAGCATTCATAAACAGATACCATGAGCATGCCCCCCACCCCCGCCCTAAACCTGTTCCAACACTGGCAAGAAAATATGCACTCCATGTTTGAAACCGTGTGACAGTATATTGTGGCATTCCATGAATATCCTGTCGAAAATTTCCACTCGGTCCTAAGAGCAAGAACAAAAGAAACAGATTCAGCTGACCAGATTGCACTCAAAGCAAAAGAGATTGATGCATGCTAGCCTGCTCACACGTTAGCTAAAATTACATTGCGACATGTCGTATGAGTTACATATTTACACGATATTAACTCATGGGGCACTTCTAACCAATGGGAATTTTGCGTACGCTCCGTACGCATAAATCGACTTCTTGCTAATGAAGGTTGCAGGCCGTTCCTCCCAGTCTCTGCCTGACAACGGCCTGCGAGCAGGCTAAATGCATGGAAGCATGAACTGCATTCTTTTAAGTCTGTCTTTGTGCCAACTAAGAGATTCAACTACAGCTCAAAGAGAATTATTCTCAAAGAGAAGACAAAGGCTGCAAAATTTCTTGCAAGCAAGTTTGAATCCCAAATGACCACCCTAACATGGCAACCCAGCAACCCCGAGTTCGACAGCAACCCAAATATCTAGATCTGACCAAATGGAAACTGCCAACTCTATTTGGAGAAAAAATTGTGAACAATCGAGTCCTGCCACTAGGCTTTACTTCTGTTCAACAAGCTCCAAATCCAAACAGGTAAAGGAAAAATATCAATATATGGATTATGGTGGTGGTGGGGCGGGGGGGGGGGAGGGGCAACATGCTCACAGTATTCTGTTTGTGAATACTGTCAAACAAAATTAAAGTGCAACACTCTCCACTTGACGAGTAAGATCGTCTGGTGTTATACATAGTATTTAAAATAATAAAGTAGGGTGCATTGTAGTTTAATGGGTTAACAATACATATTGGCAGATTGTCATTAGTTAACCCATTAAACCACAAGACTTTCACCTAGATGTTGAGTAAAATTGTCTGACAGCAGTGCATTTTATTGTGGTTTGATGGTTAATAAAAATTCAAACATACAAAATTAACATTATATCTACTTATCCTTATTTAACCATTTTCCACATTCAAAGGAGAATTACATAAAAATATAGTACTTGTTGCAAAAATAAAAGAATGTTTAAAAATGTACCCAAATTATTCTAATTAATATATTGTTCCAATTTTAGATTTTTAGAACACGCCATGCAAAGTGTATGTAAAAACTGAAGGATTTATAGAAAATTTCATTAATTCCATACAAAATTAAAGAAAAGGGACCTACAAACAAACATTAAAATTCTTGAAACAAAGATCTAAAACACAAAAAAAGCAATTCGGACAGACTGTCTATATAAATAGGTTGCAAGTAACTTACTTTATTTACGTCATAGAAAATACGATTGACCTGAATGCGAGAAAGAAAGCCCCCTGTGGAAAGTATTTCGTAGTTGTGGTCATTCTTTCCACATTGGATGTGTTTTGCCTGAAATAAGTGTTTGCCAGATTTGTCAGTCGACATTGCTGACAAAGCTCGAAGTCCTTGCATGAACCTTGCATGGCAAGGTAGCGATCGAGGCTGTTTTCAACCACAATCTGAGAGCGACTTTAGAGAACGAAGATGAGGCAGAAGACACAGAAAGCGACGACGAAAGCGAAGCAGACGACGATGATGATGAGCACGAGATCCAGCCAGAAGATGGAGAAAACGAAAGGGCAATCGATACATTGCTGCAAGGAATCCGACATTGGAAGCGACATTGACGCCAAGATAAACACTGCGCTGTAGCTTATGGTTCCACCTATTTGCACTGGCACTTTGTCTATAGATACTGTTTTGCTGTTTCCTCATTGAAAATTATTTAAAACAAACAAGCACATACTGTATTTATGGACGAAATCAGTCAAACAGCTCGAGGAACAGGCGCGTGAATCGAGAGTGAACAAGAAACCGGATATCAGTCAAACAGCTCGAGGAACAGGCGCGTGAATCGAGAGTGAACAAGAAACCGGATATGACATTCCACTTTTATTATCACCGCCACTGATTACCGCCCAATATAACTTTTGACGCATTTTTGACAACACGATCAGAGGTATAGTACAGTAAATTATACCAGAATATGCATGCACTATAAAACAGAAGAAAAACTACAAAATCTTCCCAATGAAAACAGCGTTATTTCTCAAGGATCGATCGGTTTTGACGATATGATATTATTATTATTATTATTATTATAATTCATTTATATAGCGCCATTTCCCATAGCTCAATAGCGTTTAACATCAAGTGTTAAAAATATATACTAAGTGTTAGAACATAGTGCATGCATTGACTACTAAAATTACTATACTATAAAATTACTGAAAAATAATTATATGCTCTTCTCGTTAAGAATATAAAATTACTTTATGTTATGTATGTTGATAATATTAAAACAACAACTATATAGAATACTATAAAATTGCTAATAATCTTGTTAAAATAATAACTTAGTCATAATACTGTTTAAAAAGATGTGTCTTTAATCTGGTTTTAAAAATAAGCAAGGTCTCACTCTTTCTAATATACTCTGGCAGTTCGTTCCACAGTTTCGGTGCAGCATATGAGAACGATCGTTCACCATAGTTCACTAGTTTTACTGAAGGTATGGTAAGCAATCCTTTGGATGAGGAGCGTAAATTTGCTGATGGTGTGTAAGGTTTTAGCATATTATTAATGTAATGTGGAGCTGAGCCATTCAGAGATTTATACGTGATAAGAACAATTTTATAGATGATGCGTTGACTGATGGGGAGCCAATGTAATTGTTTCATTAATGGAGTAACATGGTCGTATTTTCTGCTTCCTGTCACCAGACGAGCAGCACAGTTTTGCACATTCTGTAATCGATCTATAAGAAATTTAGGTAGTCCGTATAGCAAAGAGTTGCAATTATCTAGTTTCGATGTAATAAAGGCATGAACTAGGGTTTGGATATCTGATTTTGATAAGTACTCTTTTATTCTTGCTATTTTTCTCAAATGGAAAAACAGTTCTTGCAAATGTTGGTAATATGTTTATCCATGGACATGTGTTGATCGAAGGTTACACCGATGTTTCGTGCTGAAGTACTTGGTTGAACTATTGACTTAGATATTTCTATATGGTGTACAGCAGGGCATAAACGATTTTGTGCATTGATTACTAGTAGCTCAGTCTTGTCCCCATTCAATTTTAATTTATTTTTGACCATCCACAAATCAATCTCCTTTACACACATTTCGATTTGTACCAGCATAAAATAAGTCTTCTGTTCCCTTGCGCAATCACGG